TGCTGCTTAGAGAGCATGAATCGAGAAGAGCGCACACTAAGTGGAGTCGACCCCAGCTTCGATTTTTCTAGCTGCGATCGGTAATATGGGTTGGAACGATTACATAATTCGCGCTGCTGCTGCGCTGATGGACAGGCGACCTGAATGAAAGCCCGATGTATCGTTTTGTTGAAGGGCTGTCTCCCTGTTGTCGCGTGTTAATGCCGAGCCTACCTGAAGCCTTCTTTGAACAGAAGGTCTGAAAGGACGGGTTTCATAGCTATTCTGACTGGGTGGTCGGAAAAGACTAGTCTCCGAGCCACACCTACACTTTTCACCTGATTACTGTTCCGTTATTTGGGGGAGTCCCCGACACCTCATCAGTGGCTTCAGCCCTGCTCTTCGTCTTGGACTTGCTGCGCCTACGACCTTGGTGGAAAATTCTTTGAAAGCATAGTACATTTCAGCCCCGAAGCTTCTATAAGAAGGTGTGACTTGAAACTTTTTATCCTAGTTTCCCACAGACCGCCCATCTGAAAACATCAATCAATTACTGACCTAAGGGTTATTTGAAAGCAAAGGATATTGAATGTTTAAAAAATGCATATAAGAACAGCAAACATTGATTGGCATTTCAAAAGTAAGCAACAGCTATTTTATTGAAACCTTTATAAAAAATAGTAGCAAAGGACTCAAGACTGTCTGCGCATTTGAACAGCGAAGCATTTATGGAAAATTTTGATCCAATTTATAATGTTTTGCCGCTACCGTATCCAAATATCATCCCTTAATATCATGGAATACGTTTGTGCTCGACAAAATTTAATAAAAGGCAAATTAACAGCAATAAAAATTCTGAAAGAAGGCTTTGCAGAAGAAGCGTTTGAAGGCGAGAATCTGATGGAAATGCTTGGAAACATTTCCCATCAAAAAACGACTTAAGGCATTCAATAACAAATAAGCACAACTATCATCTGACAGTCAACACAAGCTTTACCTATGTCAAAAGAAGAAAGCGATATACCATAGCTGCCGATATGTGCAGTAAAAATAAAGTATCCGTTCCCGCTAATTTGTAATTCAAAAAATTTTGGAATTGTTTTGCACTGAAAGTTAACTTTGGATTTAAAAAAGATTTAAAGAGAAAGGTTATGAGAAACCAATATCTGCAAGAAAAAAACAATTACTTTCGCTGCTTAACATATTGGTTGGACAATCTGAGGCCATTTTGTGATAGCCAAAGAATCAAAGGCGACAAAGTAGTGCTCTCTTCTTGATGTTCTCAATTTTAAAGAAATGTTATTAGGATTTTTTACCAGGTATGTATATATGTACATATCGACTTCAATCAATTTTTCGTTAAAATAGGGCGAGGTGAAGTTGCTCTATTTTATTGCACCGCGAATTAGAAAAATACCAACAGCAACACAAAGCCAGCAGTACAACATCATCAAATTTACACTGCCTTCGGTAAATTATAAATATCTTAGCAATTAAACTTATTTATGTATTTAATTATAAACATAAGGTTTTTCATATATTTGTTTTCGTAATTACTTAATTAACCTAGATGTCTTCAACTTATGAATGAATGGAAACAAAAAAAGGAGTTGTTGAAATTAAGTGAAGTGAAGCCACTGTTGACAAAAAAAATATAAAAGAAGCTCTAGAGGAGCAAGAATTTGAAATTATGCCGGTCGTTATCTTAATTAACCGAAATAAAGTGCCGCAGCCTATGTTTAAAGTATTCTTAGCGCCAAGCTCATCACAATTTAAGAAGGACCAAACGCATCCCATTTACGGTTCGAAATGGCTTTTACACCGAAGAATCACGGTGGAAGATGCGCTCAAGCGTAATGGTCGCATGCAATGCACAAACTGTCAGGAATTTGGTCACACAAAATCCTATTGTACTTTACGTACCGTCTGCGTAGCATGTGCCCCTTGAATAAAACGTAAGCAACACAAAAAAGTGCAGCAACTATAGTCACTAGTAAAATGAGCTATGCCAAAGTAGTAAAACCTAATGAACAGGCTCCACCAGTCACTCCTTCCAGCACTGGAGTTGAGGCCATGACACAATTTATGTCAACCATGCAAAGTATGGTTCAAGACCTAATAAAGGCGTAAAACTAAATGCTCCTAATCTCGCTGACCAAAAAATAAGTGAATTTAGGATTTGTTTACGGAATGCGAATGGCGTAGGCCAGCATAAATTAGCACTCAAATTATTCTTACAGACTCACGAAATTGATGTAATGCTTATATCTGAAACAGATCTCACCCCTGAGTTTAAGCTGTACAACCCTAATCCTCCGAATGGCAAAGCACATGGTGGCATAGCTATGTTCATAGGGAACCGTTTAAAGCATAGCTTTCTTGATTCCTTTTCAACAAATAGGTTGCAGTCAACTTCGATCTTCCTTAAAAATAGAGGGATTGACCTTACATTGGCTGCGATTTACTGTCCGCGTTTCGTAATAACAGAAAAAAAGTTTTGCGATTTTTTCATGACTTTGGTAGATAGCTTTTTAATTGGGAAACATACATCCGAGACTAATTAATCCAAAAGATCGGCAGTTATATAAAACGATTCTAAGTATCAAAAATAGATATGATTTTATCTCACCAAGACAACCAACTTACTGGCCTACAGACTCAAGGAAATTATCTGTCTTGATTGACCTTGCAGTAACTGATAGATAGGAGTTTAGTATTTGCCGAAACCTGTGCTGACTTATCTTCTGATCATTCCTCAATAATCATTAAATTGAACGAACAACCAACTGGAAATGAGCAGATTTTTCGACTTGCTTCATCAAGAACTAACTGGTTTAACGGGCACAACCAGTGTGAAATTTAAAAAAATCGATCTTTTTTCATATTTCGGTAGATTTCAAATCGATATCTCAAATCGTTTTTGATTTATAGCAATTTAAAGAGCAGCCGTTGAAGATCGACTATAACTAATTACTATACTTAATTTTTTTCTTTAAAAATTTCACTGCATATTTTTGAAACATGAATAAATATATATTTAAAATTTTGAAATAATAAAGTATTTTTTTTAATATAAATTCCCAAAAATCACCTTCTTTTTAGGCCATTACATATACAGACCAATCCGCAAATAAAGAAAGGTACTGATGTTGAAAACGAGTTACTTGTATACACTACTAGCAACAGCAGCAACTATAGTCACACCAGAGCAAAAAACAAAAGCAAAAACATTGACAACTAATAGCGAAATAGAATTACTGGTCCACAATAAGAGACGTTTGTGTCCCGAATGACAAGCCTGCCGATCTCCCGATGCTGAAATTCGTCTGAGGTGGCGGAAAACAAGCTAAAAACTGCCTTAACTTACGAAGAATAAAGAAATATTAAAAATCTTATAACGTCTTTGTCTCCCAACGTTTCAACTAAAAAATCTCTGTGGAAAGCTAGCAAAAACCTTAAGCCCCAGTAAGCACTGAAATACCGTTGAGACTGCGTAATTTGCAGAGCACCTCAGTACAGTATTTCAACCAAATACTACTACAAATAGTGCACTTTTGTCACCCAACATCTGTGTCTGAACTAAAAAACATTATTACCGTCTTAAGTCCAAAAAAATCTCCAGAAATCTCTCACCTAAAATGCTAAAAGAATTGCCAAGCATTGCTCGGGTTTTTCTTGCAAAGCTTTTTAGCGCCATTTTAATGTTAGGATATATCCACAAATATGGAAAAAGTCGCAGATAATTATGATAGCTCAGCCAGGTAAAGACGCAACCCTGCCGTCATCAAATAGGCCAATCAGCCTGCTGCCTTGCCTATCCAAACTTTTCGAAAAAAGCTGTTATCAAAAATTTCTCCTTTTCTCCATCAAAATGATATTACTCCTACACATCAATTTGGTTTCCGAGGAAAACACAGTACAATTGAGCAAGTAAATCGTATAACAAATGAAATAAAGGAGACTTCCGAATCGAGAGAGTATTGCTCGGCCCTTTTTTCTTGACGTGACGCAAGCATTTGACAAAGTGTGGTATGATGCCTTCATTCATAAAATTAAAAAAACCATTACCTATACTTTCCACAATATCCTCAAATCCTACTTATCCAGCAGGCTATTAAAAGTAAAAGTAAATAAATATATAACAGAAGAGTATCCAATCAAGGCAGGTGTTCAGCAAGGTAGTGTTCTTGGACAAATATTTTACATACTGTTCACCGCAGATATTCTTAAAAGTGACAAAGTAATAATTAGCTTTTGCGGATGATACTGCTACACTTAGTCGAAAGCTAATGCCCTATCACAGCCGCAAAAGTGTTAGAGTAGTACCAAACATTAGAATCCAGTTATGGGACACAGCTTGCGCGACGAATATAGATATAATTCAAAGGTTCCAATCGAAAACGTTAAGACGGGGGCACCATGGTACGAGCGTAATGAAAATATCCATAGAGATCTTAATATACCTACCATCAACCCTTTGGGTAACGCCTTTGCCCTTGCAACAAGTCAAAATCGCCTACGAAGAAAAGACAAAGCAGCCTTATAAAGAGCAACGTCAAACTAGGAAATGCAATTCTCAAATGATCAGAGAAATGATACTGTTAAACTCCTCATTGTTTGCAATGAAATTGACCATCTTAAGGTCCAGACCAGATATCTGATTATATGATCTGTTTGCGTCTTCCTATATTTGAGCGGTATGCGATTGGCGTCTGAGCAGCGTCAGAGGCCAGTTTATGGCATTGGGTACAAGACCACGTCGACATGAGACGAGCCTAGTGCTCAATTTGAATACATTCAAACATTCTCCCCCACCGGCGTAGACAATAATTTTACAAATTTGTTAATCATATCATCAATCATATTATCAACTTAACCCTTTATAGCTCAACTAAGTTTAAATGGAAAAACTGTAGCGTTTCTAATATATTTCGAACAGAAATTAAATACCAGCTTCATAGTTTTAGGCGAAAAACAACAAAAAAAGCAGATACATATGTACATATGTCAAAATATGTAACGACGTCTATAAGCTAATTACATAATAATATTTTTTAAAGCAGTTTTTATGCTTATTGTCACACCAATTATTTCATACATCGTTTGCGATTCCTGCCATTGGAGGAACATGTTGAGCAGGACGCTTATGCTTTTTAGAGTGTATCTCTGCTTCTCTGCACCTTATTGCAGCTGAACATTCACCTAGGGACATCAGAAAGGCAGCATTTCACATGAAGGAAACCATCCAGCAATATATGCAACAACCGCTGGACAAGACGACGTACAGACCACCTGCGGATTAGGGGTTCAAGAATTTACCCGCGGTAAGGCATGCCGCCGTAATAGGCGACTAAAATCCATTATTACCCGCGACAGCCAGGTCTTTACACTGAAACGACACCGAGGAATATTTTTGCGGTTAGAACAACAACAACGCCGTACATACAAGCACTGAAAGCCATTCACCTGTCCTTAAGCGGAGTCAGCGAACCGCAACAACAACACCATGAAGTCATCAAAGAACTGTCCAGAAGCATCAGAAACTCTTTGTAGTATAATGGAATTAAATTGTTTTCTATTATAGTAGTCTTGAGCATTCCCTGTGGGTTGCTTGATAGGGATTTAGCATCCATCCATCCATTTATAGCACCAATTACACCACTTAAACCAGAATGATTTTGAAATATTGCCGATGTATTTGCTTGTTTGGTTGCATTGGGCTATTTTATAATGTCGAAGTAAATTTATATATTTCGAGAATAACACTTTTGAACATACTGTGTCCGCTGCTTTTTGGAATATTAAAGCGATCTCCAACTCTTTCATATTAACCGCAACTAAAACAAAATTTTTTTCTCCAAAGGCACATCGGTGAAAACTTGAGTGACATTTTGTTTTTTTACAGCACAGTAAATATATACAGTGATGAACTAAAGTATTGGCACAGCAAGATGGTTCAACTTTAATACCTTTTTTGACTACTTATGAGAATATTTGTAATTCCGAAGAAAAAAAATGCTAGACAGAAAGGGGACAAACTTTCAACTCTTTTCACTTCAAGCCTTCAAGATTATCTTTTGTGTTAAATTAATACTAATTATACATGAAAAAAGGGCTATGAAAGATGGGGTAGATTAGCATTGTGAGAAGTCAATTAATTAGCTGAATCAATTTTACTTGAATTCGTTCCATTATTTTCCAGATTATATGCCAAACATTTATTAAATTTCAATAGGCACTGTTTGTTATATTAGCAGAGTGCGCTAGAGGGTTTGGCACATTAGACAACAAAAATGATACAAATTTGAAAACTATGCTAACTTTAAAATAAAAAGGCTAGACAAAGTTTTTCAGCAAATAAGGAATAGAAATATTGAAAGAAAAGATCATGTTGCAGATTCTATTAAAATATTATGATATAATATAAGAAATACAAGGATTGTTGTTGTGATAAAACGGGGCCTATTAGAACAATTCGTGAACGAGTTGCAACCGATGTATTTGTAGGCCTTGTTTTATCGGATTTAACTGAATATTCATCAAAAATTTTAGGTATAGTCTTATGTACATTGACAGAAAACGAAGTAACTGTAAATAGGTCAGATATTAAATATAAGTATTTTTCGATTCCTGTAGAAGATAAGTTCTGTTAATGTCTTTACTGCATCAACTCTTTTAATGATTTTTATTAGGATGAGTATCGAGCAACTTTTTAAAGAAGTTCTGGAATCGGAGGTGAAATGCTTGCAATGATTCTATTGATTTATTTAAATTTTTTAGAACGAATAATTGAAAGGCGGCGTACTAGAATAGCTTGTGCTCTTCAACTAATTACGTCGCCATCCTTACGTCGCCATCCGGGGGCCACGGAGAAATTCTGCAGGAACTCAATGAAGTGTAAACCACAGTGGAAAATTAAGAGAAGTGTAAAAGAAATCTGCGTTAAGACCCCTCCAGAGTCTCTGAATAAGCTATGTTAGGTTACAAGAAGGAAAGGAGGGGTGTAGGAAGGCCTACGATATCACTACATGGTTTATGGACAATTCTTTATTAAACATTCGTTTGATAATTGTATAGAACTCAGTTCGCACTATCGTGAGTGCGTTTTAGATTGTCAATCTTTGTATTTTGGTTTGTATAACAGAAGAGCGAGGAGAGGTTGCGACGCTCGTTTTTTTTTTCTAATTTTAAAAAGCGGGAATTATAATGTTATTGTCATGGCAATGCGTGGCATTTTTTTTTTTTTTTTTTGATGGATGCAAACGTGTAAATTTGAATTCATGTGCTGATATATGCATGTATATACATATAAAAACCACATAGTTGGGGTCGTGGATGAATTCTGATTTGCTTACTTTTTTGATATTTACTTCTAAAACTATGTAAAAAAAATACAGAGAATACAAGATTAATTATTAATCTTGCAAGTAAAAAAAAAAATATTTAATAGAATTTATTTAAATATGCAGATATTATTTATTACTTTTAATTCATCATAATCAATACTAATCGTTAAAAAATAAGAAAGCCAATAACAAGAATTTATATGTTTAAATAAATTTTGATAACAATCATTTGCTAACATTTATCTTGCATAGGTTTTATCATATTTTACATCGATTTGTCTAATATCATACAATTTTGCTCACTGTTAATTTGTGGTGATATACTCACATAGATTCTTGGGTGAAAAATACGCTGTGTTTCTGGTAGCCGAAAAAGTAGGAACGAATTAGCAATGGTCCTTCTTGTTGATTAACATTTTTTGATATAATGAAATATTAACAAACACATGAAATGCGAATGAGGTAAAAAAAGAATTCGTTTACTTACACATTATTTATTGGAATTTCAATAGTTCATTTCATTTTCATTTAGAAAATTCCATATATCAGTTATTGGTGCAGCCTTATCAGTTTGCGGTCGAAATTCTTTTCAATAAATATATATAATTCAATGCTAGATCTAGCTAGACCATTCCGACCGTTCGAAGTATATAAAATTTTATATCCTTATAACTATCTTTGTGTAAATTTTTTTCGTTCTGTTTTTTCGCAGATAGATACCTATTGAAATTTTTTTTTTTGTCAAGAAATTTCAAGTCGATAGCTCTATTAGAAGTATATTTTTTGACTAAAATCGAAAAATGTCTGACCAGACCACTCCGAAAGACGGAGGGTTAAGGGTTCTACCACGCTCAAATATTGAAACCCGTTTTGTTTCTGCTATAGAGTTTATTATCTTCTTAACGTTATAGTAAAAGAGTCAACGCCAAAACAAAGCTTATTCACTTTTTGGGATGTTCACCTTTACGGAATCGAAAAAATTCACAGAATTTAATGATTCGTACAATTAAAAATAAATATTGACAAGTTGGCAACATGGAAAAGACCTGTAGTCATAACACTGAAACAATATGTGAGAATATACGATCAATTTATTAAAAAAAAGCATCACAATTCAATGAGTGGCTGGGACTTGATCGTTTGTTGAGCTCTGTGATCATACACATCTTTCATTATAATTTGTCGAAACTTCTCATGGAGTACTTTGCCGTGAGGGCGGTCTTTCCGCCATTGAGAATGCCCTGAAAGAAAAAGTAATTTTAGCATTGTTATTGCGCGAACTAATGTACATATATGGTAAAAATATACTGTTTACGTTTTCCAGATGCCGAAAAATGCTATGTTCCGAGCGCAAAAGCAAATTATTTGGAGATATTTGTGTTTTCGCTTCAAGGCATCAGCAGTCCCTAAGCCGCATCACCAGTAACATGGAGCTAGCTTCTAAACTTCCCATGCCATCGAAAGAAAATCTGAGCTTTCTTGAAAGAAAGCTCCAAAATAGAGCTAGCGCAGATGCTATGGTATGTAATTTTTTTTCTTTTTTGAATCGTTTCTGTGTTACAGATGTGGCTTTTGATTAAGGCCAAGGGCTCAAAAGCCAGTGTAGATGGAGTTCTGCGTGCTTTATTGGCAGACGACTTGAAAAGAAATACTTGATTAAATTAAAGAGCGTCTCTATTATGATGAGTAGGCAGTATTTACATATGTTTTTACAAACATAATAACTAATTTAATATATAATATTTGCATACAAAAGAGAGGATGCTCTTTTTTACTGAAATCGGACGATTTGTTTCATTCGGCCACAATAGGCTTAAACAAAAAAAAAACATAAAATTAGTGCTAGATTAAATTCAAATAATTATATCTTTTATACTTAAGTTGTATATACTTTTAGTTTTAATAATAATATTTTAGTTTTAGCTTGTAAATAAAAGTTACAACAAAGAAAAATGGTAGAAGTGACAGCCATTATTAACCAACAACTATTAAATGCGCTAATTTAACCGCTATTGTTCTTAAGCTTGGTTAGTGTGTTGTGTTGGAATCCTCTATACTTTCAGGCGTTAATTGACTGATTGTATAGGCAGGATTAGCGGATAGCGGCTAAATTAGCGCACTTAATAGTTGTTGGTTAATAATGAATTGAATAATACAACAACAGATTATATAGCTGATGTTGGCGCATTGGTAGAACACTCGCTTGTAAAGTCAGGATACGTTGGTCCGATGCCTGCCATAAGAAGTCTGATGACGAGATGTGGTGATCTCCGAAACAGCTGTCACTTCTACCATTTTTCTTTGTTGTATAACAAATATTCAATTCATACAAACAACAAGGCCTCTTAGTTTACTTAATAAAATTAAAATTATTATTTTTAAATATTGTCTAACGGATATGTGTTGAAAAATTGTTTCATCATATTTTTCATGTAAACCTTTAAATATAAAGTTCTGAAAATTTGCTTTTTGCCATACTTTTCTTCTTTTAATGGATGTCACCAGGATATGCTTTATATATACTGGGGATACAAAGCTTTTAAAGGATATATTTATTGTTTAATAAAATGCTTTATTACATATTTATGTCATTAGTCATCATAGATATTGTTGCGCTTATATTTAAAATTAATTGATTATGTATTTATTAAAAAATGCATTAAGTCGAATTAGTTAATGTTTATTATTTAAACTATTTATTATAGTTTAATTAATTTATTAATTATTGACCTATGTACAGTAAACTATTACCTTCTCTCGCTCTCATTTTTCTCATTATTTTCGCTTAATAGCAATCAACTGATCATGGTTTTATTACATTGCCTCTTAAACTGCGCTATTTTGCTTGTATCTAAGCTTGCTAAATTATATTATTTCAGCACATCTGTAACTTCTTAGATATATTACTTTTATATATTCATTTCTATTACTTTTATTTTATATAAAAGATGTCCTGCTCGTTCGAAAAGTGAAATCTGAAAAGTAATGCTGAGCCGGCATAAACGGTCGTGTCCTTAACTTCATACATGATGGTCGCTGGTCATGCCGGAAATAGGGAAGGATTTGAAAGTCCTCACCTAAAAATTTCAGCGCATTTAAATCTTTCAAATGCATTGGTTCCTCTAATTCCTCGAAAATGAAGACAGGGTCCACGAAGCGAAAACATAGTACGATAGGATAGTTGTGAATGCAGTTACCGCTTCGGACGCACGTTTAAATTCATTAATCAGTCCGAATTTAAAAAAAGACTAGATATCTTTCAATTCCTGCTCCAAACCCTATAGGAAAAAAAACTAGAGCTACCGCTAAGACATTAGAAGTAGCAAACAATCCGACCTCAAGTCGACATCCCTCTGCACTTGCCCTTTCTCAACTACTTCGACTGCATCTAAGCAGATTGAAATAATTACGGCGCCGGAGCGTTTACTTACTTCAGCACGTCCCTCGGCCTTAACCACAACAAGACAAGAGCTAGTTGTGGTTCCGAAAAGAAAGTCCTAATTTGTATCGCGGTTTGCAAAAGATACAACTTCGGATGACGTGCGATCCTGCATATCAGAAAAATTAAATACAGTGAGTTTGGATATTAGGAAGTTCAATTTCACCTATGACAGATCTATAGCTTCCTTTAAAATATATGTTTCAGCTGAATGCTTCGACGTACTTTTGAACTCATCATTTCGGCCGAATGGCGCTTTTGTTCGAGAGTTTGATTTAAAGCAAAGAAATATTAGAAACAACCTTGCTCAATTATCTGAGCCAAAAAAATGCTAACAGATATTAACCTGAATATTTACTGTCAAAACGTAAGAGGTTTGAAAACTAATCTGAAAGACTTATGTATATTTACAATGCTAAACTGCGACTATAAAATCTTGGATTTCTCCGAAACTTGGCTTAAACCAAGTGTCTTCAACTCGGAAATCTTAGGGAACAACTTTGCTGTATTTAGAGATGACCGTTTAAATAAAATTGGTGGTGAAGAAATTCATTTTGGGATATCGCAAGCAAAAATCGGATTTTTCTATTTAATCTCTCTAGTCATCAATGTTAAAATCATTATTTTCCATTACTAAAACATCTGACAATATTGTTAGTTTACTGGGACCTAGCTCAACTCGAGATAAAACTCGTGATTTCCTAAAGGAGCTTTCGTATCTAGGCCTTTTTCAAATAAATGTGGTCTTAAATAAGTCTGGAAATACTTTGATCTTACTTTTTGGGGAATATTGCGGGAGTGACAGTCCTTGGCCGGATAAAAATCAGGGTCGTTCCGGTATAAAGACCCGACCGTCGCGGGAACTATTGGATTTTAGTCGCCTCTTACGACAGGCATGCCTTACCGCGGGTAAATTCTTGAGCCCCTAACCCGCAGGGGTTGATGACGTTTCGTCATTTTCGTCGCTGTGATCCTTTCATTTTTTCTGAAAATGGTTATCATCCATCTCTCGAATTATATTTCGATATTCCCTCTAATCTTTTTTATCCAATATCTACTTCAAAATTGAAAAATTATATTAATCTTAGAAATGCGCTGCCCACAATTTCCTGGCAAATGTATAAGGAAACGTGGAAAATAGCGTTCTTCACTTCACAAGTGCTGTACATTCTGCCTTCAGAAAATTTGTTCCAATAACAAATGAGTCTATCCGTGCTTAAAATGCTTTATGGTTTAATAAAGAATTGAATTAGTTAAAAAATTAGAAGACTAGATTATTAAAGCTCTATAAAAAGTCCGGCAAAATTTCTGACTACGCTGCTTAATCCGCAGTTAGACATAAGTATAATATTTTGAATAAGTCGTGTTGCGAAAAGTATATGACTGATGGATTCAAAATAACATTATTTCGAATCCGAAGCCATTTATGGTTTTGTTAATTCGAAACATCTATGAAAATGAATGATGAAGTCTCTAGAGATTTTTACAGGGTCGCAGATATGTTCGCAAACTTTTTCTAATCTAATTATATCTAGAACACAAATTAAACCCGGCATCTATTCATTTACCCTAACTTAATGCCTTCTATTGATTGCGTAAAAGTAACACATATTTCTGCTGCGGCTGTTTATCACCATCTCCTTAAGAGCGCATTCACCTGTGGTTCGGACAATGGCCTACTACTGTACTTAAGTTTGTAGCTAAATTTCTATATATTGTATACCATTAAAGAACTTATTTAATGCTTCGTTAAAGCAAAATTTATTCCCTTCCTTGTGGGAAGAGTCAAACATTGTACCTCTACAGAAATCTGGTAGTAGATCTTCAATAGGGAATTAAAGGGTAATAGTAAAGTTATGTTCTATCCCCAAAATTTTCGAAGCTATTATAACCGATCAATTGGCCCATTATGTGTCATCTCACAACATAGGTTTTGTAAAGGAAAATCTACCCCATCGAACTTGGTAGAATTTACCACCCATGTAATGGTTTCAAAAATGGTAATCAAACAGATGTTATCTACACTGACTTCAGCAAAGCATTTGACAAGGTCTCTTATTCTTTAAACTCGATCATTTCGGGTTTCCTCCTTCTCAAATGGCTCTCATCATCCTTGATTGGTAGAATATCATACAAATAGTAATTTTTAAATATTGTACATCACGTGAAACAGCAGTAACATCTGGTGTTTCTCAAGGCATTCATCTTGGTCCCTTACTCTCCCTTACATTCATCAATGAATGTGGTACTTCATTCTAAAATACTCATGTCAAGCTCTTTAAATCAGTTCATTCTATTGAAGATAGAGAGCTTCTGCAACTTTACATAAATAATTTCTTAAGGTGCAGCGTTGCGAACTGTATGTCCCTAAATTTAAGTAAATGCAAATATATGTGTTTCTGCAGAAAATCTTTCCAATCCTTTGGCTATATGATACATAATCACAGAGTTGTAAAAGTTACTGCCTTCATTGATTTAGGTGTATGAGTTTAGAAATCATATAAATGCTTGTGCTAATAAAGCAAAAGGCGTTTTAGCTTTCATTAAACGTTTCTACTATTCGCGATAACAAAATTTAAACTGGAATCTGTCTTCTGACAAAAGTCGTTAACGGCTCATTAAACTGAATAATGCTGCTTGGAGTTTTATTTTAAACTAAATTGTTAAGAGGTGTTATCACCAGCCCATTCCTAGTTAGTTAATTTTACCATCCATTTAAGATCAGCTAGACACTTTAGGCCCCTTTCATTGGGCTCGTGCAGAACAAACTTTGAATTTCACGACCCTTTTAGATATTTGTGTAACGATTTTAATACACATTTCGCCAACAATGATTCCTCTGACTCGCTTTAAATAATTTTTTATTTATACAGAATTCATTTATTTACTGGATCTGCAATAATATAAGCCTAAAAGTAAGTGTACATATCTTAAAAACTAAATTACAAACATGATAGCTCGAGTTATTTAACTTTGAGTTCTTTTCAAACTACGGCACTTTCCTTAGAAGGCGGGAACATCTCTTCGTTGCAGGCGGGAATTTCTCGATGGGTTGCATAAAGCATTAGCTGGCGGATTTGGATGATTGAGCTTTGTTAAGTACTTCGTCCTGCCTCTTTCAATTTCAGGCTTAATCAGTAAAATACCAAGATCTTGATGAATGTTAACGTTACGAACGTATCATGCTGCGCCCGTTAGTGCTCTTAAAATTTTAGGCTGGAACCTCTGTATTCAATCGATATTAGTTGCACAGGTCGTACCCCACAGTTGAATACCATCCACAGTTGAATACCATCCAAATTGGTTTTAATACTGCGTTGTAAATAAGGACTTTGTGGTCTAGTTTTAGACCGGAGTTTTTATTTAAAAACCAATTTAAACTAGCTGCTTTTAATTTCATGTGTAGTATATTTGCCTCTATGTGTCTCTTCCAAGTGAGACGTCTATCTAAGTGTATACCGAGATACGTAACATCATTTACTTGGGGAATGTTTATACCATTTAAGCGAATTGCAGTACATGATTGAAGTCTTAAAAAAATGTGACGTGTCTACACTTTTGTTCATTAACTTTAATTCTCCTGTTTTCTAGCCATTCTTCGATCAGGAGTAAATGATCACTAATCGTTTTTCTGCTCTTTTCGGGCATTTATACCGGCATAAAATAGCTGTATCATCCGCAAAGGTAGATGTCTAAATGTATATAAGTATATAAGTATCATATAAAATTGAACAGGCAGAGCTTTATGTATTTTGTACAGTAAACCTTTATGCCAGACTTTGTCGAACGCTTGTGCTACGTCAAGAAAGATTGCACAACAGTACTCCTTGAGCTCGAATGCTTTTCCGAATTCATTAGTTATTCGGTTAACTTGTTCAATATTACTAATCTTTTCACGAAAGCCGAATTGGTGATCTGGTATCACATTGTTACCGTGGAGAAAAGGAGATATTTTTGATAGCAGAATTTTTTCAAATAATTTGGAAAGACTGGGTAGTAGGGTCATTGGTCTGAAAGGCACCGCCTGTGTGTGGTCTTTGCCTGGTTTGGCTATCATTAATATCTGCGACTTTTTCTACGCGTTTGGAAATTATTTTAGTTTTAGAATGGCATTAAAGAGTTCAGAGAGCAATGCTTGTGCAACTCTTGGTGGCTCTATTAGCATTTTTGGTGTAATAAGGCCTGGATATTTCTCTGGATTCAGTTTCGGTATCGCGTTTACCACTTCTAGGCTTGATATTTTAATTGCCACCTGATTTTCCTGGCCGCTAAAAGCAAATTCCGACAGAATAAAATTATTAGTTGCGTCATTTGGCTGGAATACATTACTTAAATGCTTTGCAAAGCAATTTGCCTTTTCTTCGTTACTACGTGTCCAGTTACCATTTCGGTCCTTGATTGGCATATTCATTTCTATTGGAGGCTTAAATTTCTTTTGTGCTTTCCACAGTGACTATTTTTTGGCAGAATTTGGCGCTAGTTTTTCTATGTATGCCTTGGCGTTGTGATCTTCTGTTTGTTTCTGTGCACTTTTCAGCTTCCTCTCTACAGCTTTCAACCGTAACTTTGCTGCTGGAGAGCGATATTCTTGCAATTCTCTCCGCAAACGGCGCTTATTCTTTACTAGTTCTTCTATTTCTGTATTTGTTAGAATTTTTGGACACGTAGTAGGCTTTTTACTACTTTCAATATTGGGTTGATGTCAATATGATTACTAGTATAATTTTTGTATTTTAGCCAGTTTGGCTAGCTCGTTAGCCACGCAGTTTCCTGGGATTTCCCTACAACCAGAACCCTAACGAAGGACGTTTCGCATACTGTTGAGAAAATCTAAAAATCGAAGTTTCCAAAAAAAAAGAATATATAAAATGTCAACTCCTGCCAATTAAATATTAATAAAAAAAATCTAGCAATTCATATTCTTACTTCCGCCGCCAAAGAAAAAAAAAAAGAAAATATATTTAGTAAATCCATACGTGCTTCCAATATTATTGCTTGTGCCTGGAACATAATCCCAAAAGTAATTCAATAATTTCCAAGTTGGATATCCCATAAGTGGCAATATCAACCAATTCTGAGAAAACACGTTTAGTGTAAAAAATTTCGAAAACTGCCCTATAGAATTTTTATATCTGCTTCATACAACGACTTATTTTACAATTCTAACACTCGATTATTTTCACATAGCTTTTCCGCTTCACTCTACAAAGATATTGTCAATAACAAGATCACTTGTAACTGCCTAAAAGCTATATAGGTCGTTCCCCAGCTATTGTTTTTAAGCAGCAATTTTAGTGGAAGTTTTCGACACTAATTTATATATATTACTTAGAGCTGACATTATCCTTAGTATTATAATTCTAACATGTTTTATGGCTGTGAAATATAATTTAAAAATAAGCTGGAATATACAAATATAGACTATATATAATACCCTGGATGGTGATTACTCCATAGAATACAATTGATATATTGAGTTATTTAAGTTTATTCTTCGTAATTTCAAAATATATATCCCAACTGTCCCAGCTCCTTGTGTATTTTCTCGTTTCCAATCAAACTATCTATCCATAGCTGATAAGGATAATCGTCTTGTACACCGCCATACCTAAAAAAAAGAAGAGATTAATAATGCGCACATATTGTTTACTAAACACAAACTAAAAAAAAGATCACAACTCATGTATTATTTTCTTGAATATTAAGATAAAAAAAAATTGTATGTCAATATGGCGGCCGCGGTAGCCGAGTGGTTAGCATTCTCAGTCTCATAAAACATCAAAATTTTATGGGAATTAAATTTTAATTCCTGGGAATTGACTTATTTCACAAAAATTTATCAAAAATCTTCTGTTACGTCGTTAATACAACACTGACTATATCTTGCCCAGTCCTATGTATACAACATTGACTAGACCGACACGACAACCCCTCATCCGCTACTTTAAAAGTGTAACTGATTTTCTCAGCGAATATTTTGAGCACAAGGATTCGAGTGCTATCCACATCACCTGTAGCATTTGTATCATGCTTATTAACACAGGATATTTGGCATTATATCGCCGTTACTACCTTCTTTCTTTTCAGGCGCGTCAGTATCATAAACTTTACTTTGAGCGCGTAACGACCAAATTTCGCATTCTGTTATATTATTTATTAATACCGAAGTACTTTTCAGATTAAGTTATTTATTTTTGTCGTCTGACTCCGAACTAAGCGTTTTCCGATTTAATGGGTATACGTTATAGACACAATAACTCATAATATCTTTAAATAATACTTGGTACCGATGGTACTAACTAGATATTTTACGCTTCAAAACGTTGTCATCTACACCATTCTGTATATATACGTCAAGGGACGGTAGACTCTGTTAACCCGCTTGTTTGGAATCATTTCTTTCGCGATAGTTTAATTTGTCGTCTGCTTCGTTTAGCGTGCATGGTAAAGTAGTCAAAAATTTATGCACAAACTACGAAGAGCACACGGCTGCGAATCAATCCACAATTGCATCGTTCCACTTTTTCTTAAATCCATCGTGTAAATAACGAAATAAAAGAAGCAATTAGGGAAACTACAAATTTGAATTCATACCGTTGAGCTAAGTGACAAAGAGTTTGTCGATTATTTCCGATGTCCGCGGAAGACTCAGCAAAATTGTGATTATGTACGATGGCTTCATGGTAGCCTAATGACCCTTGGAGACGATCAAATAATTCAGCATTCCATATGTGTGAGGGAGGCTCATCCCTTTGGCAAAGCTCTCAAGATGATGCTTCCATATGAAGGTTCAATTGTTGTTGTATAATGTTATTAATGTTTTTTTTTTCGATTTTTATCACATAAAATACATTTTGTAGAAATTTTTTTTTTTTAATGTCCGACAGAAGCCGACAGAAGCCGACCAAGGGCCATAATAACGTCTTTTTTAATTCTTGATTTTAGACCTTTTCAAAATTCGTTAATTAAAATGCAACTGAATTGCATTTCAGTGTACGTATTTTCATATATAACGTATATGTTTATTTACATGTAGGCGTAGTAGAGCAATCCTACATCTGAACTATCACGAACAAGTGTTTATTTTAAATAAAACGTCTCATATAGTCCTACAATATATACACAGCACTGACTAAATTATATATTAATCAAAACCAAAAGCAATGTATTCATATAAAAGCATCTGAAGAAGTAAACGTAAGTAACCGAAAGCACTTGTACGTGACACTCCTTTGACAAAACCCCATATTCCTTTGACAGTAATTTCAATAGGTTTTTTTAAAGCGTATTATGAATGCACGTATCTATGCAGGTGAGTGTTCCAATACATTCTTTATTGTGGAATGTAATGAGATTACGAGTTGTAACCATATTTGTCGAAACTGTTTTGACACATTTGTAATTAGGACTTTTTTTATTTTAAAATGTGATATACGTATGTATGTACAAGTATATGTTGGTATATGTAAATGTTTAGATAAGTGAAATATTTAAGTATAATCAGAGCATTCGAATATCAATTATATTTACCTTTTCGGCAAGCGATCTGGACTTATGTGTTTATGAAGAGACGTCATGTCTGAGCCGTGAATAAACAATCGTTCTTTCATTGCGGCATTTAAAAACGGCTTAAAAATGTTGTAGGCGGCATTAAAGGCCCAATTTTGATTTACAATATGTAATGCCGCAGTTCTCACGGGCATCGAAGTCTGAAAATTATTGGCAATAACAAGTTAATAAATCTGAAATACTTTCATATGTACAGATAAAAGATGAAAGCAATTAACAAACGTTGAATTTAAAAAATTATGTATTCTCGATTTGCCACTCAATTGCGAAAAATAAATTGAAATTTAAGTATCAAAAGTTAAAAACAAACTTTAAAATAAATGTTATTTCCTCCCCGTAGTTTATTTTGATATTGAATCAGTATTTTGCCCGACTATTGGCTACAATGATTTGCTTTTCATTTTATTTTAAAATATATAGTATGCGTATTATTTTCATAAATAGGTGCTTATAAAAATATTTTTAGACTCAGGAATTTGAATTTTTAATTTTCTTCATTCTTTTTGTCTACAATCAGCCTCATACATAGATTCAATACATTAATCAATAATTAAAGGTTGGATAAGTAATGACAAGGTAGTTTTGATGCGCCCTTGCAAACGGGTGTGTTCTCGAAAGTAGTAGAAAGAGGGATAAAACATTATCCGATTTATAAAACGGCAGTTAATTTATAGGCAAACTGTCGTTATTATTACATGTCATAGATTTTAGACAAACATTATAAACTTATAGATCAATTTTTTAAAACAAAACTATCTGTATGCATTGTTGGAATATATAAGAGAGATCAGAAAGCTTTTCGCAGAAGCATAGTTAAAAGGTGATCCAAAAATATTAAAAACTAAAATGTGTACCTCTTATTGATAATTTAAATTTTATTTTCATAGATGCAATATGAAAGTTTTTTCTATTTATTCTACTGTTCCTAACTCTATCTTTCTGAGGTCCGACTTTGAAGAATTATTTTTTTGCTCACTATAATAATAAATGTAGTTTAAGTCAAACACGAAAAAAAATTATTACCAATTAAACCAAATACATATAAGCCAAGGGAGAATCGTTGGCTTTCGATTCATATTTAATGACTTAAAATGATTACAGTATTGGTAATTATTTTACAGATAACTCCATTTCATTCTTTGTTGCGAATTAATAGACATCTGCTACGCTGGGAAGCAGGGGAAACTGGCTTCGCTTGAAGGAAAATTTGCATTTGACCAGTTATTCATTAGCTAATTTTGGTTACTTGATTATATGAAGAAACCTAAAGTAAGAGTTGACTGTTAATTACTTCAGTCGTCCGATTTGCTCATACCCGTGTCTCTACTATTTAGTTCTTCACCTTCAGCTTTAGGGAAGCAAACTACCTTTACTGATTGAATTTTTATTCTATTTCGAAGAAATTGAAAGATTTTGTTATGGTTTCCTGTAGAAATGCCCTATATAACCGACTTTTTACTTAAGACGCGTTGGTCGATACACCTAGAAAACATTAATGAATTGAACTAGCACCCGATTGAAGAACATATATATGCCCTTATTATCTCTTAATATTTTTATATCTCTGTAATAATATAAGTACATTAATTAACATTTGATATGCAGCTGCTCTGCTGGACATCCATTTTGGTTTTCATCGCTACTCCTTCAAATGCTAACATTGTACGATCAAACGTACGCGGCTCGTAACCATATAGATATGCCACTGCCTTGCAAGAAGGACCTATTGCAAGGAACAATTCATATATTATATGAACATTAATTGAAACTTACCAAAAAACATACGCCAATAGGCAAAGAGTATGTACTTGTTTTCAATGTAATTCAAAACTTTTTACTACTATTTAAAATATATTATGAGAAATCGTGCGCTTTTCCATAAAGAAGCATCATGGTTTTCTAGTAAGAGAGCCGACTTGCCATGAGGGAGCGAGAAAGCTGTCTACTCATCCAACCTTTAATTATTAAATTATGGATTCAATACAATTCTATCTTTCTGCATTGGCATAAGTTCGCTGGTAACAATATTAGCATCCACAGCGACACAACTCATATATTTATTAAAGAAATATTAAAGAGTTTTTATTCGAAAGAGCTGACACGATTGGAGTAAAAAAATCTAATTGTAGCAGTTTCTCAACTTTACTGCATGTACCATACGATACACTTTGAATAATCTGGTAATATAAAAGTATTATGCACCCCACCAAAATACAAGTATTCTCAAATGTGGCTATCAAAGTTACCACTTCTTTTTGTAAATGTCTTACATGGGTGTTTCTGCCTTTGCAGCTGCCCTTTGGGATGAATTTAGTAAGCCAGTTAGTGCTCGAACAGTTAGAAGAAAACTTCTGGAAGCAGGTTTAAAAGGATGTAAAGCCAGAAAGAAGCCGTGGCTCTCAGAAAAGAATAGGAAAAATCGTTTGGAATGGGCTCGCCGATACCAACATTTCACGGAAGAAGATTGGTCGAATGTTCTGTGGTCTAATGTATCAAACTTCGAGGTAAGCTTAGTTAAGATCGTCTTAAAGTATTTACATCCATAGCTTCTATCCCTTGAGCAATTTCGAAGACATAATAAAAATCTTTTGAAAACATTATTGACCTGGTTTGACGTTCATGAGGCGAAGGGTTGGGGAAGAATATAATCCAGGTTGCGTGGTACCCACTGTTAAGCATGGAGGAGACAGCATCGTTATCTGGCGGTGCATGGCTGCTGATGGTGTCGGCGAAATGTTCGTTTGCAAGGGTGGCATGGGCAGTCAAAAGTACATAAATGTATTAGAAGCTGTTCTTCGGCGATCAATTTCAGCAAGACAATGCTCCTTGTCACAAATCAGATCAGTTTAGAGATAACAACATTTATTTGTTAGATTGGCCTGCACAGTCTCCAAATCTTTATCCCATTGAGCACATGTGGGCTATTTTAAAACGCAACATTAAGGAACACAGTATAACATCAAAAACTGCCTTAAAGAATACCTTAATTAACGAGTGGTACGCTACAAGTGGGGACGAATGTGCAAAGCTTGTACACAGCAGACCTAAGAGAATTGCTGCCGTTATTAAATATTAATGTTATTATTAATAATTCATTGTATTTTCACTGTTTTACTGATAAAACTTCATTACTTCACTTGTTAAAAGAAAAAATTCAGTAACTAGTGGGGAGCCTAATACTTTTGGCCAAGGCTGTATGTTGTGTCAGCTGTCACGTTACTTTACGACACCTTTATAGTAATTGTACTATAAATATTGTATAAAGCGCCTTCTTTCTGAGTTCGAGCAGGAGATTTGAAAGAGTTTGGGTAACATATTGTCGGATTTGAATTTGACTGAACTATTATAGGTCGCCGTTAAGGCCGTACATTCGGGGTTATTGTGTGATGAGTACAGCAACTATCATAAAGCGCTTGTAGTGGTGGTGGTGGTGTAAGTTTGGAATAATGATGAGATTTAGTTAATTTTTTATTATATTATCAACATCACTCTGAGTTCGATTTTCCAAGATTTTTTTTTAAAACTCTGATAAATAATATTTGTCTTTCTGCAAGAAATATGTAAAAGTAGTAAGTAGTGACAATGAAATAGTAGTATGAACTGTTATATTTAACCTTTTTTGCTTCTTACCACTAGTAAAGCAATCATTTTCTGTGCTACATTTGGATTTAAGTGAAAAATATGATTTAAAGTTAGGCCCTTTAAGTCGAATATGCCTACTCCACCCATCACTTGGGCAATCGGTTCCAAAGAGCCCAATTCAAGTAGGATGATAGTGGCTCGAAATATATCATCAACGCTGATTTTTGCTGGTTTCCAAGCCCCAAAACGATAAATTAAAATACGATGTCCATTTTGATCTCTGTATGGCGTTACTGATATAATATCCTCATCACCCAAAATCTTTAGTTCCAGTGGTCGAACTTTTTCGTAGTAACTTTTATTCTGGTTTCGAAATTTGTAGTAATTAACCATCTAAAAAAAAAAATAAGGAGAGAGTCAGATAATAAACAGTAGATAGAATAAAAAAAAAATAATAAGATAGATTTAAAAATATTATTTAAAGAGAAACAAAACATTATTAATAATTGGTCGACAAGCCTTTACGTTTTCTGATAGCATTCAGTCTTCTTGGCAAAGATTAAACTAGCTTCTTGCATGTTAAAGAATCTATTTTCCACCACTCTTTCAAAATAGCGGCTTCTATGTCTTTCTTGTTTCTAATAACATGCATTTCCAGTTTATTCTCCAAATGAGCACACAGATGATCAATTACGTTAATGTCGGGAGATTGAGGACATGTTTCAAGTACTTTAGGATAGTTATACATCAGCCTTGACGGGCATCAAGTGTTTTATACTAGAGATCGTTGTCTTGGTAGTACTGGAAATTGTCTTTAATTCCCAACTTTTCCGCACTTTGTACTATTATCTTTTAAAATTGTCAGATATTGCTTGTGGTCCATATTACCATTTATGAAACACAAATTTCCAGTACCAGCTGGGGACACACAACCCCATACCATTACGGAGCCGCCAGTAAATTTTTTTCTAGCAACTCTTCATTCAGTTTTCTCGAAACATAGGACTGCCCATCTGACCTAAATATAATAAATTTGCTTTCATCTGCAAATAAAAATTGTTTCCAGAATTAAAATCTTTATCTATATGAAATTTTGCAAATTTAATCCTTTTGTGTCGGTTAACCTCATTGATAGATAGTTTCTTCCGTGCTACTGTTCCATTATAATTATTTTTTCGGAAGACTTTTCGGATACTCTCCGGATTACAATTAATATTGAGATGTAGCAAAATTTCTATTGAGAGCTGGACACCCATGTTTGGATTTTTTTTTCATTTTCTGCACTATCCACCGCTCAACTGGAGCCGAAAACAACTTCGGTTGTCCAGGCTTTTTTGTTTTCCACGGAGTTTGCTTCTTTGAATCGTTTCATCACGTCATGCTCAGTCGAGCGGGGTCTGCTCACAATTTCTGCGAATTCTAGAGTGATTTTTCCCTTTTTAAAATGACTAATTTATTATTTAATTTCCTCACTTCAATTGAGCTTTGTCCACGCTGTCTACCCATGTTTGAACTTTTCAGTTTTAATTAGATATGAGAGTCGATTATCAATCAGCGTCAGCATTTTAATAGCATACATAGCATAGTAAATCGAAGTAAGGAGTAGTCGAGCACCAATTTCAATCGAATATCTGATCGATCCTATTTTTTTTTCATCTTTTCGTTAAGGATTAAATAGTCTGGCTGGAAATAGTAAAAACTTAATAGATGGAGGAGGAGCTCGGCCAAATTTCTGCAGCTGTTATTAAATGCCTATTAAATTTTGGCATCTGTCAAACCCAACTAACAAAATAAACATGTTTTGTTTTAGCTAACTGTAATATATTTATGATAATAAACTGCTTAACACCCGCACAAAGATTGTGATTCAAACGTGGCCACGATGATATTGACATTATTGACCTCAACAAACGCGCCGTGAGTTCTGCTTTCTCCAGACTGGTCAGGAAGCGAACGAGTCATCAAACAAACAGTCATCGCATTCGCGATGTCACTGTTGACAGTCATAATTTCTAGGTCATAGATAACCCATTTATCTAGGAACCAGCATCAACACCAATAATAATATCAGCCTTGAAATTCAAGCGAATCAAGATTCAGCGGTTACGTTGGTGGTCCGTATGGACACGAATACTCCAGCTTTGAAAGTTTTCGATGCAGCCACCCAGTAGAAGCAGAGGAAGACCTCCACTCCATTGGAAGAATCAGGTAGAGAAAGACCTGGCTATAATTGGTATTTCCAATTGGCGCCAAACAGCAAAAAGAAAAAGTAGTATGTATTACTATACATGTATAGAATGCATAGAAACATACTATGTAAATATATATACACATGCTTCTATGCAGTATATAAGTTAATGTCTTGCATTAAATTAAGGCTTTATTTATTATGAGCAATCTTAAGTTTGCTTTTCTTTCAATATTAATTTCTTAAACCTAAATGAAACCTATGGTCGACACCAAGCCGCGTTGCACCTGCATGTGCAATAGTGGTAAAATGCTGTTTAATCAATTAGTTCAATAATATTTCCGAATTGTTTATCGAGGTGTATGGGTTATTGCCCAATTCGCAAGAATTATTGTAAGTTGTTGTGTTAACTCTTCCCCCTTTAAGCTTGATCGTCCCCGATCATCAATAGAATGGTAAGTTATTAAAATTTAGATGCGTTGGAATTTGGCTTAGCTCACTTGGGTGAGTTTCATTAATTTTTGTTACATATTGGATTTTTATCGATCTCTTCTTTAGGAGAATCATTACTATGATAATTAAGCAAAACGCTAATGAAGTTAAGCTTCAGACAGATAAGGTTGCTTTCTTCAGAAAATTTATGCGATGTATGTTACGGATTTGTAAGTCTTTCAAGCTCTGTAGCGAAAGCAGTTCTATATGTTCTTTTTCTAATGGGGGTGGTTGCAGAATCGCAGAAAGAGTCTCGATTGCCCTTCTTTCGACATTTGTAAATTCTTTAGTGTTGATTTTAATAGATGTGGTGTAAAATGTTATTACGTGCGTTCCGTTTATTATTTGAGGAGTCCATTTCAATTTCTCCATCAAATTGGTTCAATAATATTACGCCTGGTTTTATCTCTTCTATCGTAGGGACTTGGTGACGATTGGTTGCCGTGCAAGTTGAATTTAAACTATTAATTGTGCTGGTTATACAAAGATTTTTGCTTAGTTCTACTAGATTTTTTTCTTTACATATTGTTATATCATTAAAAGCTTCACATTTATTTTTTATTCCATATAATAAATTTTTTCCTTTTAATACTTTCTTAAATTCAGTTTCAGTTATAATATTATTTAACTTTTTTACAGGTCTTATAACAATTTTTTTGAAAATTTATTTTGTCGTTAAGGGTATTTCAATAACATATACAATTTTCATATTATTGCATAAAATATTTACTTCCGATAATTCTAGTGCTTCTTCTGCACTTTTGAATGATATTTTTTCTTGTATTAATTTTTCCATTGACAGTTCTATTTCTTGTTTACTTAATATTACTGAATTTACAATATTATTTTTTGCCCATCGAATGCCGTATCTAATATTTAGTAATTCTTCCGTAACTAGTCTAATCCTGTGTTGATAATTTATTAAAATTTCATTTAAGGTATTATCATCTTTACTAATTGAATTTATCATTTTATTAAATATACTAGTTATAATATTTATTCGTTTTTTTTTACAAATAAATTAATAATTACTATTTGATTATCATTGTTTTTATTTAATTTATTTAAGTTTTCTGTTATCATGTTTAGACCTTCATGATCAGGAGATCTGGCTAAATATTTTCAAGCCGTTCCCAATATGTCATTTGATCTCTTTATTTTGTTATTATTGGAAGGTTTCAGAGTGCTCAGTATTTCAAAGGTTTGGGTAGTTTCATGTTTTGGGATAGGGTATAGGAAATTGTTTTTAGGTATTCGGGTAGTTATTTCATCATAAGTGTCCGTTAAGTATTGTTCGTATTTTTCTAAGTCAATCAAATGAATAAGTCTACATGTGCCGTCTTGTATTTTCGCTTGTCCAATGTCTATTGTAAGTAGTTGTACCTTACTGTAATCCAAAATTTTTAAATCGGCTAAAAGCTATATAAACGATTAAAATTGTTACATAGTTCATTTTGCCTGAAAGTAAATTGATCAAGTTTTTATTAGTGCCTTGTGAATTATTCGTCCTGCTGTGGTTTTAACTGTTCTTCTATTATTTTCGGCTGCAGTTTCTTTCTTATACTTTGGAGTTAATTTTGATCCTAATCTCTTATTTATTTTAACATAAATGGTATATCCTGCAATTGCTTTAAGGATTAATTTCCTTTGAGGAATGGGAGTTTCTTGAATCTTGGTAGGTGTCTATCGTATTTATGTTCACGACATGTGTAACATTGTTTGACTATTTTTTCTATTTTCGAATGCATGCCTGGAAAACAAAATGTTTGTAAAATTAGTGTTTTATTCTCACGACCATTCCTGTGTGCTCTTTGGTGTTCATTAATGATTATTTGGTCTTGTTCTGTTTCTGAAACTACGTCTCTGAATAAAGTTTGAGTGAATCGAATTTTAACATTTGCGAAATGGAGTGGGTATATTTCTTGTATTTTACCCATCAAATTTTCTGTAGTGTAAAAACCGTTAATTAAAGATGGCTCAAGATATCTTTTGATTATATCTATAATATCTTGTGCAGAGTAGTCTGGTTTTGTGATGGTGTGTCTGTGAAAAGTTGGAAAGGGTATTTTAAATGAGTAACTATCTTCGTTGCCATATTGTAAGAATAATTTATTTTTGAATGCATTTATTAGGTGATGAGAAGAACTTTCATCGCTGTGGTCGGTTGTTGATAATACATTTATATCGGTATGTGGGGGTCTAGAGAGTGCGTCTGCTACGACGATTGCCTTTCCTGGTTTATATTTCATCTCGTAGTTTTATTCTTCAATAATGCACTTCCATCTCTTCATTTTGCCATTGTGATTTTTATTACTCAATGCAAAAGTGAGCGGTTGGTGATCTGTGAAATTTACAACTTTTGCAGATCCGTACAACTAATTTCTTAGTGAGGTAAGAGCCCAAATGATTGCTAGCATTTCTGTATCATTTGCTGCATAACTCTCTCTTCAGTTTTATTTAATGAACGAGAAATAAATGTAATTTGTTTTCCTCCTTGCTCAAGGACGGTTCCCTAAGCATAGTTGGATGCATCAGTAGTTAAGCGCAATTCTTGTTTAAAATATGGATATACTAATATAACTTCTTTTGAAATTAATGAGGCTTTAATTATATTGAATGCTTCCAAAGCGGATCGGCCGAACGCGACTGGTTTTTTACTGGAGGCATTTTTGGCATTTGTCCAAGTGTACTTTCATATTTGCTTTTTCTAATGTATAGAAAATTGTTTCGACATTTTGAAGGTGGCTTTGTTCGTCTTTCCAACGGGAAATTTGTATGGTGAACGGTATAGCCTCATTATTCCGTCTTTTAGAAGCCTTTCTGTTTCTTGATTAACGAAGTTTCTCATTGCTAGAGGGTAGGGGTAGTATTTTGTGTATACTGGGGTGTCTGAGGAAGTTCTAATTTCTCCTACTACAGTAGTGGTGTATGTGAGTTTCTCGTCTGGTTCGGTAAATAGTTTGGGATTTTCTGTTTATGAGTTGGTGTATGTGTACTCTTTGTGTTTCTGTGTTTCTGGAATCTATCCTTATGTCTATGTGTGACAGTTGTCATTAATAATAATATTAGCTTAAAGGTCTTTAAGGCTATCGTTTCCGATTATGCCATCAAATGACTTCAGGTGGGAAGTAAAAAGAATTTCAGGTTGGTGTCCTTTCTGCCAAATAAGTTAATGATCGCATGACAGATAACTCAGTCTGTCCAGATATTGAATTTGCGAAAAATGGTTCGGTATTTGGAATTTAATTCAAAACTAAACGGGGTTGAATGTAATTTTTGCTAGATCCAGTATCTATTAGCATTTTTAGAATTTCACCGTTCTTCGTTCTGCACCCAACATATGGTAAAGAAGAACTCTTTATCGTAAAAACTTGATAACAATGTGGTCATGTTCGGGGTATTCCTGCAGGTTTAGCTCGTTTTCATCACTGGCTAATGCTGCACCATACTCCTGTATAGTAGGAGTCCAGTTTTGTTCGTCATAGCGCAAATCTTCATTTTAAACAGGTTCTATAGGTAAATTTCGTTGTATTTTGTTTGGTATCGGCGGATTACCAGTTGGTGGCTGTTTATTATTAGGGTCAAATTGCCGGGGTCGGTTCATATAATTAACATTTCTTGCACGCATAGATGGATTTACATCCATTGGTTCTGGTTGTGGCTGAGGTTTAAAAAATGGGCGTGGTGGTAGATAATGGATTTGCTGCGGCCGTGATGCCTGAGAATTTAGCTGTTGTGGGCGTGTAGTCTGGAAATATGGCTGTACAGGCCTTTAAGGGGTATTTGAAATGAATCTTGGATGTGGAAGGTGTGCTGATTCCGAGTAAAAAGCATTGCTTAACTTTCTTGGAGGAATGGGTGGACGGAAATCCTGATTTTTTCTTCCTTGATAGTACGTGTTATGAGCATAGTGTGCTCTAAAGTTTTGATTCTCCAATTTCAAACATAAGTGTAAAGCCTGGGGTTAGCCATTATTTAGATACAAAAAATATCTTCCTTTTTCTGTTAGGTGTTCTTATACTCTGAAGGGTCCCTTGGGTGGTGAATCGCAGAGAATTGTATGTGTTATAAGCTGGAGGGTCCCCCCGAAGGTGGTGAATGGCAGCTTTGATTTATTAATTATATGCTGTACAAGCCGTTAGTTATTAATAAATATATAATATATGTAATAATATGAATATATATAATAATCTCTTTCCACAAAAATTTTTCCTTTCTCCTTTTTATAAGTGTTTAACATAAAATTTAATAATTTTTTAAAAAATTTTTTAATTTAACTTTTTTCTTGGAATTTTAGCTTTAGCTCTTCTACATTTTTCTAAATTTTCACTTTTCTCTTTCCACAAAAATTTTAATCTTAATATTCTTCTTTTTATTACTTTTCACATTTTTCATTTTTCTTGTTCCTAAATTCCTTAGTCTCTTCTTACTTGCTGGCACATCTTGGCGACGGGGTATAAATCCGTTTCACTGCTTACTTCGGTTCCCTCACTGCGTACGAATGAAGGTGTGCGTTTTTTTTCCACCGGAATCCAACGCTGGGTTGATGTGTTCTGGACCGGCAAGTGTGCTTAAGGCGTTTAGTTCGGCTGTTTTTTTCAGGCGACTTTTGCCGATTCACTACGAGTTGGGTATACGGGCGCTTTTACCAAATCACTTTCATGACGCGTTGGCTTCTATGACCAAAGGACTATACGCGATGCACTAACTTAAATCGGTCCCTGCTCGGGCGCCAGTTAAAGTCTTACATTACACGTAAATTAAGGCCTTTTAAAATTAAGCGGACTCGTGTCCGCTGTGTCTTTATTTATTATGAGCAAACATAAAATTAAACAATATTGATTTCTTAAGCCTAAATGAAACCTATGGTCGCCACCAAGCCGCGTTGCACCTGCATGTGCGATGATGGTAAAATGCTGTTTAATCAATTAGTTCAATAATATTTCCGAATTGGCTAGTGCGGCGTCAGCAATCAAGTGGATGCGCGTGTAACGTTGTTTATCGAGGTGTATGGGTTATTGCCCAATTCGCAAGAATTATTGTAAGGTGTTGTGTTAACTTATACAATCCGATGTCACTGGAGCGACTTAACTCAAATTTTTAGGTTAGCTTCATACAAACCCGGAAAGTATTCCTATGAAGTTTGGATATTTTTAAAAGATAAAATAAAATCGAGCCTCTAATTCGTATTAATTGAAATAAATTTCTTTCCAGTAAGTGGAGCTGATATCGGCTTCATTGAGCTTAATATTTTTTTCATCAAATTTATGTAGGAAAAAAATGACGGTAGTGGACCAGTAAGCTCGATTTGCTTTAAATTAAAAAAATTGATAGGTATTTCTCTAGCTTAACCTACGAAAGTAGATATGATTTGTACTGCGGTTGTAGACTGTTTTTAGACGAAGCGGTTACATACAGTGGCTCAACAATGAACTCGGACATACATTCCACTGCTATTAACGTGCAACTTCAAGCTAGATTTTTTTAACCAATTGATATTAAGCACTTATGTTTTCTATGTTTCTATAGGGTATCCAATAAGGATTTAAAAAATACCAATAACAAAAAAAATAAATAGTTTATAGGTCTCTTATACCCTTAATTATAAAAAAAAAAAATGTGGCATGCTAGAAATTTCGCCAAAAAAAAGTCGGACTTCTGGTAATATTACAGTTGCTTGGCATTTGAAACAGGGGAATCCCACAATTAGTTTGTTTTCGTTTAAAAATACATATGTATATAATCGAACGTAATAGCTTAAAATAAAATTTCAGTGGCTTTTGGAAAAAAAGGTGAAAAGTTCGAACATGGGTAGACAGCGTGGACAAAGTTCAATTGAAGTAAGGAAGTTAATTATTAGTCATTTTGAAATAGGAAAAACCATTCGGGAGATCGCAGAAATTGTGAGCAGACCCCGCTCGACTGTGCATGACGTGATTAAACGATTCAAACAAAAAAAAATTCGTGGAAAACAAAAAGAAGTCTGCACAACCGAAGTTGTTTTCGGCTGCAGATGAGAGGTGGATAGTGTAGCGAATCAAAAAAAAAACGTCTAAGGTTTCGGTTGAAACATTTGGAAATATTAAAAAAAAAAAAGTTATCAAAATAAATGTATTTTCGTTTGTACATAAAACATTAGCAATTGTTAACAGAGATGGTTAAACGTTAAAATGGAAGTGTGGTCTTCGACATAGCAAGCAGCCATTTTAAAATTAACGTTAACGATGAGTTTTGTACGGTTTCAACATTAACGATTTATTGAATTAATTTTTCTTGTTAGCGGTACGGAAACCTGAACTGAATAGTCGCGTCATTTTTCTTACCTCTGTTGGTTACATGAGCTGATAATCTTTCAAATTTTAAAACTGTGCAATAATATTTCCATACCTTCATATGAATTCAACAAATTGCACATAAGTAGGATATAAACGTATGTATAAAAGATTATATAAATTAGCTAACTTTCCATACTAACATATATACAATATATTATTAAATCAATTAAAATGCTAAAAGCATAATCATAGTCAGGACTGAAGATTTCATCAACACATCAACATAGATTCTCACATATCGACCGAGAAATTCTGATTTGTTGCGCAATATAAAACCTACACGTTCTATTGATTTCTTTAAGACTTCAGCTAACCCACGCACTTCACTTTGCGATCATTTAAAACGAATCAGATGATCGCTTAAATTTCCGTTATCGTTTTTGTAAAGCAGCTATTGGTCACACTTTAAGAAGTAACCGGCTTGCTATTGCTTTTTATTTTTGAATTTTAAAACTTTATATAAAGCAAATATGTAATTGGCGTTTTATAATCACTGATACCATTTTTAGTTGTACTAGTACTATTTTCGAGCTGAAATATCTTTGATAATACTTAACGACTTTTTTAAAATGGCAGGAATTACATGTATATGTAAAAATATATAAATTAAAGGTAATTAAAGCAACTACAAACACTTAAATATAAAAACATAAATGAAACAGTTTAAATGCTACTTACCAAATCATAACTGTCCTTTATGTTCCAAAAGCGGGCACGAAGAAATTTTTGCAAATATTCGTCATCTGTTCGATGTGGCGTACAACCGTCATGTTCTAAACCAACATGAAATATGTTAATTGCAGTGCCAAAAAAATTTTAATTTAAGAGCTATGTATAAGCTTACCCAGTATAAAATTTCGAAAATCATCAATTAACTGAAGCTTTTTATTTTCACATTCACCCTGTCCTTCAGCGATGTATTTAAATTCTTCTGGCAATTCGGGCTCAAGGTCCAGATCGTGCTTAATTACAGCGGAGGGCATTTTTAATGAGATCTGAAAGTTCAGACTTATTAATATGGACGTGTGAAGACCGTGATATCGGTATGTTACCAAGTTGTCTTGACTTAGATACTGTCTAACCAAACAATTTTTCGCTTTATATAGCTTTCATATATGACAGATGCCTACTTTGAAGACTGAAGCTTTTCCGAACAATAAAGTAAATAAGTAAAACCAAATGGGAGGGATTACCTAAGATGCCAATAATTCCACCTTAAATGCAATAGCCGATTGTACGATTAGTACCAAAACCAAAGTTCTTTTATATTATAAAGTCGTGTATTCAGTAATAATTGTGATAATACGGGAGTTCTTATAAAGTGTTGTTTTTTTATTTTATTGATGTAAAACGTATGCCCATTATACTAATAAAGTGAAGTTAATCGAAAAAAAAAATTAAATTAATTTTAAATTATTTCTCACGACGTAAATAAAAAAAAAAAAATTTCAGCTTTGATTTTGTGTTGTTAGTATGAGAAAAAAAACCAAAATGTGTAGGAACATTTCAGGCCTAGAATTCATCGATTCATAATACAATAGTAAAGCATCTGGCAAATGTTATTGTGAAAATTGGTAAAGGTATACAGTGCTATTTTTAAGTAAGGTAACCGAGTGGTTATCATTGTGCATTGACATTCGGAAGGCTAGGGTTCAAATCCACATGTCGCACAAACATCCAAAAAGTTATAGACAATTAATGTATATAAAAAATTAAGGTAAATTTTCTAATTGCGGTCGTCCCTCGGCAGGAAATGTCAACCCCTTGGTTTGTATTTCTGACATGAAATAAAGCTGCTCATAAAAAAACCATCAGTCGCGCGAACAGTATAAACTGTAGGTCCCTCCATTTGTTGGAAAAACATCAAGACACAAAACCACAAATTGGAGGAGGAGCTTGGCCAAAAATCGCGTCAACAGTTACAAATCGTCAATTATATATATATATAAATTCAATATGGTAATGACGGTAGCCGAGTGGTTAGCACTGTTGATGCGCTAGTTCATTAATGGCTGAAGGAAGGAACAATCGAATCTTAAAAATTCCGATTTCACCAGTCCTGTGGTTTTGACAAGCAAGCGTAACGGATTAACAAGGTTATCATAATTGTTAGATGATTTACAAGATCAAGGTGTTCAGTAATACCGCTCGTAACTCGAAATGACCCATATCAATTTAAAAAAGTACCGTTTTGTCTATTTTTGATATAAGTGTTGAGTAAACTACGAGGCCTTGTTGTTTGTATGAACTGAATATTTGTTATACAACAAAGAAAAATGGTAGAAGTCACAGCTTTTTCGGAAATCACCACACCCCCTCATTAGACTTCTTATGGCAGGGATCGAACCAACGGATCCTGACAAATCATTATTAACCAACAACTATTAAGTGCGCTAATTTAGCCGCTATTGTTCTTAACAGCTTGGTTAGTGAGTTGTGTTGGAATCCTCTATAATTTCAGGCGTTAATTGACTGAAAAATGTATAGGGAGGATTAAGTATCAGATTCATCTTATATATTTATAATTTGTTTTTGTGGCAAAATTAGCGCTTAACTTGCTTGTTAAAACTTGTCAGCAGGTGAAACCTGAAAATTCATAGCCAGCTGGAGGTATGATAGAGAGGACCAAGGCAGTCGAGCTTTGGGAGACGATTTGCGTAGATCTGGTAGGGCCTTTAGTGAAGTTGCCACAAAGCTATTCCGTAAAAAGGAGTGTCGCCTTTTTCTTTAATGTGCTGAGGAGATAATTATCCCGGTGTATTGGTGTGCCATGGTGGCGTGCGCTATACAACCCGATCCCTTTGAGTAATGGGGGCGGCGCCAAATGATTGGGCACCAATACACACTCGAAGGAGAATTCTGAGGGCCTACGCGTAGCTTGCGACCTGGCTCGTAAGTGCGTGCCGGATCAGATTCTCGCAATCTATGGAAGTGTGCACACCCTTTTTTATATGCGAATGTTAGTTTGTTCTTACAAAAGAAAATATTATAATATCAGTGTTACTCTGTGTGATAGTGTTTTTCCAGAAGAAGGTAGCCGAGTAAATAAGTAGTGTTCTTAGGACATGATTGCGAACTTAAGGTTTGAAGCCAGTCGAGGCTCTTAGAAAATTTCGAAGAAGGAGTCATTTTTATGGATAAGTGGCGGTACCACCGGAGGAGCACCGAAGTCGGGACGCACACCCGACCGAGCAACCATAAGTATCATATTATTTTTCTGTCAAGTGTTTTTGTACGTTTTGTCGTGCCGAAAGTGTCGTTCCCTTCGTACATCCTCACTCATCTTTATAGCATCCCACACTCAGAGCTCTGTCATACAGACGGGTTAAAGTTACCTCCGGCAGCACGGGAGTAGTACGAATGGGTTCGTAACCAGTTCGGTTAGACCAAACCTCGGGTGCACCCCAAAAACATATTTTGTTTAATTGTTTTTAGTAACTTGCCTTTGCTCTTGAAATGTTCTTGTTAAGCGATTTTCAATTGCTTAAGTCAACGTCGAATATTTCATTTGGCTTTTTTTTGCCCATAGTTTTGTTAGCATCCGTAGCTAGCGACCCACGTCATCTTCACTTAGCTGGCCGGTCGCTTTGTTAGTTGTCGTCATCTCCTTTTTGTGCGGTAGTTTGTTTTGTCGACGTGTATGGTTGTTGGTAGGCGATTGACGTAAGCACATATGCCCATACATATTCTAATAAATATATAAAAGTGGAGGTGAAACGTTTTATCCCAAGATGAGAGGGTATTGTACACTTCATCATTGTGTAGAAGTTTGCTCCAAGAATTGGAATATCCTCTCCTCCTATGTATATAGATTAACGCCATGAATGGCTGGAGAAATCGTTTCCCCACTTGGTAGCCAATTAAAAGGCAAGAGCGTAGGGTCATGCAGCGTAGTTTTGAAAGTGGTGACCATAATATATTTTTATTTGGTAAACTTTGTAAACTATTAACTCCTTTAGTAAAAATCATAGCTATCACGAGTTTGTTTTACTTTTGAACGAACGACGCTGAAACAAAGTACCGAAGTAAGAAGGATCGAGTTAAACAAGGTTGATGTGAAAAGTATCGATTGAATTAAATACATGTTTATATAATTTAAACGAATACATAAATTAAATACTTTTTTGTCAATTTTAAACCAATACATGAATTAAATACCTAAATAAACATTCCTATACAGATTTAGATTTGTTAACCCGTTTATTGATAACATCCGACCCGTTTACGAAAATTGCCACCTAAGCATAAATCTGTTTTTGATTTGATTGAATAACATATTATATATACGTATATTATATTTATATATATAGGACCAATAGTTTGTTCTAATGCGTCTTTGAACGGCTAATGGATTTTTATTATGATTTTACAATTAGAATTAACTTTTTTATTTCCTTAAATTTTGCATAATTTTTGATATTGTTTGGGCAGAGAATCAAATCCAAGATCTTCCGCTTAGTAGGAGTTACTGCACTCTACTCGGCCATTAATTGCGCTTGAATAATATAATATATGTATATAATGATAATAATCTGCTAAACGTCGAATGTGCTCGATTTGGGTTTGGAGATGCTTACATATGTTTTAATACTTTTTATATCTTCATCAATTGAAAAAAAAAAAATTAAACAACATCATCAGTTTTTAGCCGCTGGCTTCACACCAGTTCGACCAAAATGCAATGTGCTAGATTATGAGCGTTATGTTTTATTTTACTTATTTTGGGCTTGTAATAATGGATTATTGCGTTAGTATTTTTTAAATAGCTAAAACAAATTTAGTCTTTGTATATTCTACGGAAACGAATTGCAATAGAAATGCACGATAACAGCTCAGTTTGTAACAAAATTGCGAAGGAGTAGTATTTTTTGGTCGCCCAAAGAGAGATATTTACTGAGTTTTCACCTAACACGATTCAGTAAAAATTAGCCAGCAATTTGTCTAATAGCTGTTTATATTGGAAGTTATATTTGAATCCGTTCATTATATTGTTTAGCGTTTTTTGCTGTTTAGTATTTTAAGAGGTATTTAAATGAAATTGGTAATTATTAACTGCATTCAAAATTTATTGAATATAAAAAGATAAAACTCGACAGGCTTCAAAGCCAGCAAACCATAAAGATATAAGATTTTCTGATAGTCCTCTGAAAGGATGAAGTTTTATGTAAAACTTACATTGCAACAATTTGTCGCTTAGAATTTCATGAAGGATGATTAAAATGCAAATGAGTTTAATGTCTTTTTCCGTATTAGCTGGAAATGTTAACTTCTCACTTTAGAATTTCTTGGATTATTTCTGAATAAAACTCAAGGATATAGAATGAGCTTTCATCCTTTTAAAAGCGACTAATATTTCTTTTAAAACACTGTCGTTGCTTTCTGAATCTTAAAAATTTATTATCGTCACTGTAATCGTAACAAGAACTTAATTCAAACCAGAAGCATTTATTATTAAAATAATTTTTAATATATATACACAAAAATCACATTTTGTAAGCTTCACTCATTTGCACCAAACAAAATATATGATATATTATAATACAACTACATATGTTATCTCGGCCTTTTTTAGATCATAATGATAATTTTAGAAATGACAAACCAAAAAGCCTTTTTAAACAATCACGAAAAACTTTCGTAGTGCTGTCTCTAAGCTTGACACCTTAGAACCTATTCCAAACAAAGATCAGAAGAAACTGTGCTGTTAAAATTGCCTTTGAGTTCTTTTCTCTTAGTTATGACTCCATTCAAACCAAGTAAAAAGCGACTGAGCGCCGAAGATTGATTTTATCATCATCAGCCTGCAACCAAACTTTTAGAATGCATCGTTTAGTAGTATAGACTTTCATCCATACAGACATATAATATGTATATATGTATATATATATACAAGTGTAAGATCTTATTTAGAATATACACATGTATTTTATACTTAATGTTTCCATGTGTGAATTCGTTTTGAATTTATTATTTATACTAATACATAAATTTACACTTGCTAATACATATCACTTTAAAAAACATATAATATATGTATATCAGTACGAAAATCAGACGTTATCAGCCTTGCGGGCTTGCGGGGCCATAGCACTTTGCTTATATGACTTTAGACAACAAAAAATTTTGTTTTGGTGTGACAGCATAGCAGTTCTTGACATTAATTAAATCGCCACAACTTGATATGTCCAATGCATTGGGAGAGAAAACGAGTTAATATAGCAAAATAAATACATAAGTCTCTACACAAATATAATGTGTAAAAAATTCTGCAGTGAACGGTTAGATATTGGACAAAATCAATTAGTTGTAGAGAGTACGCATTTATAACAAGTATGTATTTATATACGTACATAAGTGCATATTCATATATGTACAAATATTGAAAAATAAAGCTGAAATCATTAAAAAAAACAGTTCTTCGAAATCCAAAGAAAGCGTCCCTGATGTTTAAAGTGGTGAAGTGAAATCGTATTTTTCTCAGTACTTGTTTAAAGTAATAACGGCATAATAAAATTCATCAAATGATTTCGGCTATATTGATAAAGACCAGAGCTCAAGATTTTGTTCAAACATTTTCGAGCTGCTCGAGCATTTGAGCCTCGAGTGCGTGCACACTCGTTCACTGTTCATTGCTCGAAATTTTTGATGCTTTTTGGACCAAGAGCTGTCTTAAATAATTTTGATTTTATTTATGCAAAGTGTAAAACTCATTGAAATATTGGGTGTATGTATTAATTCGTGCGGTTTTCTGAGAGAGGGCTCTACTAGTATTATTTCGTATCGGGTTCATCGTTTCAAAGTTACTGTCATTTCGCGTCGTTTTCGGTAGATGTCATTTGTTTTAGCGTGAACAACAATTTGTTTCATTCATTTGAAAATGTCGAAATTTGTACCGGATAAAGTGTTTTTGCAGGGAATTCTTCTTCATTACTTTAACATGAAGAAAAGTGCTACCGAAAACCATCGTATTTTACTGGACGTTTATGGTGACCATACTTTAGCCGAACGAACGTCCCAAGAGTTGTTTGAACGGTTTAAAAGTGGCAATTTCGACTTAGACGACGGAGAAACACTCGGACAGCCAAAAAAATTTCAAGACAAAGAATTGGAGACATTGCTCCACGCAGATGCATGCCTGATGCAAGAAGAACTTGCAAAAGTATTTGAAGCTTATCAAGCAATCGTTTCCAGACGATTAAAATCATTTTCACAATAAATCTTAATTTTCGAAAAAAAAAACCGCACGAAATAATGCATACACCCAATACTGAAAAAATTTTGACAAACTAACTTGAAATTTGAAGAATTTCAAACTTTCATGTGAGCAGCAGAGTATCTAGAGCTCTTATATGGACGCAAGGAATATATACAGTGTTCATATGGGCGCTACAAGACCTTAACATATATTTGGGAATTTATAATGTGGCCGCAAGACTCTCACGACTTCTACAGCAATCTAAGCTGAGAGCTAGTCCTGCACTCCTTACCCAAATTCACGATTTCCCATCTCACAATCTAATGTTGGCAGCAGTGTCAGATCGGGGAACAAAACTCCCCAGTACCACTAGTCAATAAAAAAAATTCCTTGCTGTGTTATGAAAAAAAATTATGTTTAGCAGGAAATTTGAACGAATACGAGTATATGTAATTTTAATGTTAAAACATAATAGATTTAAATATTCGATAGTTTCTTAACAAAATGTTGTATTGCAATTGCAATTAAAGACGTAGATGTACGTACAAGAATATTTCAATCAACCACAAGGCCTACCTACACGAGCTAGTCAAATGTTTGAAAAATAAAGCCCTTTTCGACGAACAAAACACACATGGAGTGGAAGCGTGGACGAAGACAACTGATGAGTCTTTATTAGGAGTTTTCGTATTAGTATTAGTCAATTAGATAAGATTGTTCAAAACACTACCATAAATGATCCGACACCTGGAAAAAGTTACGTGGGGTCAAAGATGATCACGAAAAATCATTTAGAAAATTTCAGAGCAGGTAATTATCTATGAAAAAATATCTTAATACTATTTCACCTAGGGATCTGTGTGCTGATTGACTAACCGATCCAAGCACAGTCTTCACCACTGATCGTAGATACCTGAAGCTTGGAGAGTGGGTTTTGTGTGTGACGTACACAACCGATAAAAAAGGGTTTACAAAATTTTACCCATAAGGGAATGAAAATGGGAAAAATGCAATGTAACCATCATTGTGCTTATGAAAAAAAGTTCTTGGTACATTTTGCGTTATGTGGCTTTTATTTATTGACTTTCAAAATTAATGGTTTTAGTGTGCTCGTGGTCAAAAAAGATCGCTTTCACTTTTAATTACTACAACGGCTACTAAATGCTACTACGACTGATGGGTATTTATGGGGAGCCTTTATATCATCATTTCCTGCCGAGGGGCAGCCTAAATTGAAAATTTTAACTCAATTGTTTTTATATAAATTAATTTTCCATTACTTTTCGATGTTGGTGGTACTCTGGCCTTCCGAATGGCAGTATGCAATGCTAACTGTTTGGCTATTGACGAAATACTGTCTGTATGAATCAACAAAACAATCTTAGGAGCGCCTAGAAATTTTTTCTTTTTTTCGTATGATAGTGATGTACAATAGTAAGTCGCATGAAAATCTTCATAATTTTTTCTTATTAAATGCTTTCTTTCAATTGATTGATCGAAGAATTAAAAATTGCCTCATATGCTACTAAACTATCACAATTTTTTCATTGAAAATGCATTTTAAGTGAAATGTTTATTGTTATTATTGTTATAAAGTAATAATTTTATTGCTCAGTTGACCTCTATACCTTTATACTAATGTACACAAATCAAAGTTCCGTTGTATCCTATCTCACGTATGTCAACTAATTTTTTTGATTTTGATTACACGTTTTTCCCCTTTCCCACAAACACTCGTCAATTCTTGTTTACGAGACAGGTAAGAGGAAAGGGGAATGGTAAAGATACATACCTTCGTACAGGCAAGTCTTCTCAATTTTGCTTGCCTTGATTTTAAAATTTTCGTTGCGTTTGACTTTTTTCCCCATTTCTTTTCATTTTATTCTTCTCATTTCGATGTCAAAACGTGCGGGCAAATACATGCAATTTGATTTTCCGGGTAAGTTTCATTGTGAAAAATTAATATACATGCATAAATACATTTATAAAGATATGAAACCTTAATTTTTTTAGACAATGGCGTACACATGGAGACGAGTAAGTTCTTTGGTTCGGAAAGAAAAAGAACTCGAAACTGTTGCTCAGCCCTCCACTCTTTTACCCACATACGTTTAAGTTTTCTTTTCGGTAGCGCAGCAGTTTTTTCGCACAAATCAAGTAATTCTGTTTCATCAAAACAATTATTGACGTTAGTCCGATTCTACAAATACTTGTTCTTTAGTTGAGAACTCATCAACACCATAAAGGTACAATGAATAACCCGAACCTGAAATAAACACAAAAAAAAAAAACAAAGAAATAAGTGGAAATGAAGATTGCGAGAAAAAAATTACTTTTAATTTGGAAGATGGCGTTTTCATTCAGCTTATTTTTTTGTCGTCCTGGCATATCTTCCATAATTAAGTTCAATTAGTTTTTTTTAATATTCTTCTATTTACTTTACCAACTGGCGAATGTAATTTGACATGGTTGAAAAAACAGTGTTGCCAAAGTTTTGTCAAACAATGTAACCTGCGCGCTAAGCGCATCTACGACCTCGACGTTATGACTGTCAACAGTGCCTTGATAGCCGAGTAGCGAATGCGATGACTGTTTGTTTGATGACAGGAGATATTTCGTCTTGCCCTCATTCTCTACCAGACCAATTCGTTTCGCTTCTTTATAAAGTCTAGAGAAACCGGAACTCACGGCGCGCCAGCAATAAGTTAAAAAAGTCACACAATAAAGGATCACTTTGTCTGAAACCTCGTTTGGAGAGGTCCTTCCTAATCCTCAATTAAGGTCAGTTTACATAGCCGTATAAGTTTCGTGCTGTCGAAGACTGCTTTAAAATCGATGAAAAGGTAGTGTCGGTCCTGTTTTCACGGGTCTTTCCCATGATTTGGCGTATGATGAATATCTGATTAATGGTTGACAGTTTGTTGAGGCAGATTATGGGATCGCCTTTTTTGTGGATTGGGCGGATAAAACTTAGGTTCCAATCATCGGGCATGCTTTCATCATATCATATTTTGCAAAGAAGCTGATGCATGCACCTAATCAGTTCTTCATGTAGGGAGTTTGCAATGCCGTCCCACAGTTCCCTCATGCCGGGTTGCTGATAAGTGCTCTCAGAGAGCAGGTGTGCAAGTCGAGTAGAAAACCGATCGGCAGTCTCTTTTGATTGCAGCTTTTCGACATCGAACCTTCCTTGTCTTTCTTGACAAGCGTTCTTCAAAACACAGAGGCGTGTGCGTATCTTCGCTGAGACAAAGTAGTGATCCGAGTCGATGTAAGGACCTCGGAACGTACGCACGACTTAAATACTGAATACAGTATTTCATCCACCGATGTGAATGCCAGTACAAGGCGACGAAGTTTCTCTCCCACCACGAATCCGACACCAAACTTGCACTTCTTTATATGGAGGCTGTAGTGAATTTCATAAGGACCCATCTTCTACCGTCCTTCTCCCATCCATCGCTTTTTTCGGATGGCGGTGATGTCAGCCTTTAGTTTTATGAAGACATCAACTAGCTGGGCAGCTGCAGCTTTCCAATTAAGGGAACGGACATTCCAGGTGCATGCTCGAAAAACATAATCCTC